GCAGGTGCGCGGCGCGGGCGGGGCGCCGGGCGGGCTCAATCGGGCGTGGCTTAGGACCCGGGGCGGCTTCCCGGAGCGACAGTGGAACTCCAAAGTTGCGCCCGGACCTTGGCCCTGACAGTCGCAGCTCCTGGCGTGATCCGGCCCGCTGTCCTCCGCCGCCACCCGCTGTCCTCCGCCGCCACCCGCTGTCTTCCGTGTCCAGCCCTCGGCGCCGGCATGACGGGCTCGCTGTTCAAGGCAAACTTCTGGGTGAGTGAGCGCACGCGGGAGCGAGCCCAGGGTGTGCGCCTCTACCCGGCGAGTGTGCTCTCGGTGCCGCGCTGAGTCCGGAGCGCGCCCTCCCCAGAACACTTGGGACCTGACGTCACCCCTGGTTCTCACGCTTGAAACCTGAAGCCCGAAAGGAGGGAGCCGTCAGGAACCCGCGGTGCCGAGTCCCGCAGACCTGGAAGAACCGGGTTATGGGCGCGTGAGCAATCACGCTGGGGTTCTCGGCTGGAGCTTTGCCCTGCCTGGCAATCCCGGTTTTGATTTCCCTCCCAGGCCCCAGAGCACCCCCGGAAAGCCATCGCGCGTGTGAGAGCTGGTGGTTCCTAGGTACCATGTCTTCTCCCCGCTTCATTTAGACATCCTTTTCTTATACCGTTACCCTGCAACTACCTACCCTCCAAGGGTCAATTTTCCCCTTAACTCGGAGTAAGCACCGTTGTAGTATTAAGGCAGGGTAAGACGCTGACCCAGACCTTTTTCTGGGACCCTGCCTGTTCCTCCGGTAACTTAAGAGTTGCCTACCACACCATTCTTCTGCTGTGGCCCCAGCGACGACAGTTACAGCCTATCGCGGTCCATTTGCTTGAGGTATTGAGGTCCTTTGGGGACACTGATGGAAAGGCAAAGGGCTGGGTTAGTGTAACAAGGGTTAGCAACCTTCTACTTGGTCCTCATTGGAAGCCTGGTGACTCTCCAGATTTTTTATACTGTGGGGAAAAAGGACAGATCTATATACATTCACAGTAGGGTGATTATTTTTTGACTGACAGTTGAGGTACAGAGGCTTAAGCAGATGGTGTGTTTGCACAGTCCCGGGGATGCCTGCAGCACATCTGGCCCCGGAGCAGGCTTAGTCAAAAGTGTCCAGGAAAAGATTGCTGTTGCCGTTCGACTCTGGATATCTTAGCTTGCCATCAGTTAAGGACCCAGGACCCTTCTCCACCAGTCCCAGAACCCAGCAGTAAGAGCCATGGTTTCTTTCCTTTTCTTCTAAGTCACCTAAAAACCCAGAGCTGGACGTGTTGGCTCACACTAAAATCCCAGCACCCAGGAGGTTGTGCCATCATCCTTAGAAGCTCCTGGCAGTCCCCAGCAGTCCCATGGGTATCCTGACAGAAATGGATAGGAGGAGGGGCAGAGTGGGGTCTGAGTTGAGACCTGGTGGTGGTGGTGGTGGTGGTGGTGTCTGTGTGGGGGTGGGGTTTCTAGTTTGCTTTCAAAAGCGACCTGCACTTTGCAAATACACTTTGCAAAGGTATTGTCCATCTCTAGTTCCTGCAGTTGTTTGATTCAAATAATGAAAATGACTGTATTGTTTACTGTGCGGATTATTAGGTTCTTGTAAATGCTAAACCTCCCAGTTACCCTTGGAGGGAACTGACTCACGGTGGTATTTTACTGATGAGGAAACCGAGTGACGGGGAGTTTAAGCAACATTCTCAAGGCCCTGGAGCTGATGAATAGTGGCCTAGAGCTCCACATGACCTAACTGCTCCCCCACTGCTCCCCCACGTGTCTCCAAGGGTGGCATTGAGAGTGAGCCAGTCCCTCCAGTGGGTGTGGGACATGTCAGGCCACCATGTTCGTGAGAGTCTTCTTTTCTCCTGCAGCGGGGTCAGGGGTTCTTGGCAGGTAGACAAGGTCTGACCACCAGTGAAATCTTCAGCATCAGCTTGTATGCTTGGGTTGTGTATACCTCTATTGAGGCAGATGGGACTCATGAGGCATCAGGACCTGGGAGAAAGGACACAGAGGAAGCTGTTAGAGAAGAAAGGCCACTTGCCAAGGAGTCATGCTTTTTAGGGAACAGGGAAAAAGATTTGACCGAGTTGAGGTTGGAACAGTGACCGTGTTTCACGGCCGAGAAACTTGTGACTGGATGAGGCAGAAAACTTTGAAAGCATAAGCAGGCACTGACTCCCTGGGTTTCATAAACGTGTGTGAAATATTTACTCTATATAAAGTGCTCTCTAGGAGAGATGGCTCAGCAGTTGGGAGCACAGGGCTGCTCTTCCAGGGGCCTGGGTTCAATTCCCAGCACCCACATGGCAGCTCAGAGCTGTCTGTAACTCCAGTTCCAGGGCATCTGACAGCTCACACAGATAAGCATGCAGGCGAAAAACCAGTGCCCATAGAATAAAAATGAAGTGCTCGCCGGTAGGTGTGGCATTTGCTGGGGTTAAGTTTGTCACCAGTTTTGCTGGAACAATAGACATCTCCGGAGGGAGGAGGTAGAAGGAAAGGTGCTTTTTTTTATTTTTTTGCTTTGATTTTTCAAGATGTGGTTCTCTGTGTAGCCCTGGCTGTCTTGGAACTAACTCTGTAGACCAGGCTGATCTCAAGCTCACAGAGATCTGTCTGCCTCTGTCTCCTAAGTGCTGGGATTAAAGGCATATACCAGCAACCAGCACTGCCTGGCCTTTTTTTTTTTTTTTTTGACTCAAGAATATATAGAGGCGGGCTGACTGTGGCAGCACACGTCTATAATTTATAATTCCAGGAGTCTGAGGCAGAAGGATTGAAAGTTCAAGGCTAAGCTGGGCTATACAGGCGGACTCTGTCAGGAATATAGGGGAGGGAGAGTCCTGGGAATGGAGAGTAGTTAGCTGGTGCCAGAGAACCTGAATCAGAGAGGCCTGTTCCAGGGTGGAGGTCATGGGCTGGGAAAGGAGGCAGATATAGAAACCACAGAGATAGATATAATTAAAGCCATAGGCTAGGTTAGTCAGCTGTGGGTGAGCAGCTGAAGGAAGGAGAGGGGCCTAGAGCTTTTGTGGAAGGGGAACTGGAGAATGAGGTGGGGGGGTGTTCTGAAGGAGGAAGTTAGCAGGAGGAACTGGTTTGTGGAGGCAGAAGGAGGAGGCAGAAGTGACAATGAACAATATTTAGTCAGGTGTTACACCTGTAGAGGCCTGAGTACAAAGCTCCCTCTGCCCCAGGCCTCGCCTGGAAGGTCCAAGCTCGCCCTGAAGCTCCGGGCTCACCCCGCAGCTAAAGGCTCACCCCGCAGCTCCAGGCTCACCCCACAACTCCAGGCTCGCCTCACAACTCCGGGCTCACCCCACAACTC